TTCGGTATTGACCATCTGGTGATGTCCATGTGTAGAGTCGTCTCTTGTGTTGTTGGAAAATTGTGTTGTTGTCCTTATCTCTTAGGTTGATCAAATTCTCAGATATCTACAGTGAATCCTTTAGTCTTTGCCATGCCATTATCAATATTGAAGAACTTGAAGGTTCAGAGACTTTGAAGCAGCCTGTCCCTCCCAGTTATAGCCAAGACAAAAAAAAGAAGGAAGGTCCTGTTCCTTCCCTCCTTGTGGCTCCAGTGAGATCCTCTCCACAACAGCCTTTTCCAACCCTACTATTACCAGTTCTACCACTGATGGATTTTCTGATTCTGTCCAGTCTTCACTATTTCCTCTTCAGGAATAGGAGTTAATCTTGGAAGATTTGGTACAGGCCTACTCCTGTGGACCACTTCCTTTTGGAATTCTTGGTGCTCTATGAGCTTGATTGTTTGCTTGCAGACATTTCATTACCAAACTAGGTAACATCCTCAGTGCCATCAGATACTCATCAGATACTCTCTTCTGTTGGAACCGTTAACCTTTTATCCACTGAGTTAGTTGTAACCAAGTCCTCCCCCTTCAGCTACCTCAAGATCATGACATCATAGCTGGTCACCTCATGCTCACTGTTTCCAAAGGATGCTTCTCCTATTTTTGTTTAGTTCCACACCATCCTCATTTTTTATAGCAGATTACTGGTCCTTGGCATCTAGCTTTTCAAATCCTGAAGGTTCTAGGGATTCATATTCTCTAGAATACAGAATTCTCAGTCTATTTGACATGTCCTTTGACACTGTTACCCAAATACTCAGCTTGGGAACAAGTACCAAGCTCTCCTTTGGAAGGCTCCTGTTCCTATAGTGAACACTATGCAGAATGGCCTGTTGTTTACATTATGAAATGGTTAGGGTCTCATTATTTACAGACATCCCCTGTTAAAAATATAGAACTTTCTCACATTCTCAGTTTGCGTGCTATTCTTTATTTTATTAACTAAACCAGTATAGTGATGTGATTCCTGTAGTAGGAAGGGAGTTGAGCTATGTGATCTCCAAGGTTCCTTACAGCCCTTACATTCAATGAATCTTTGAACTGTGGCTAATTCAGCAAAATTCCTATTAACTTTTCTCTAGAACTCTGCTATCTTTATAAAGTTTCTTTATCCCATAAAATACATACTTAAAATAGGGGGAAACTCCTACATTTTTCATTTTTCAACAGAATAGAATTAAACAGGTAACAACTTTAAACTGATAAAATAAGGCTGAAGAATTTCGGATAAATATGTATAATGTATAATTTGGAGCTTTAAAGGGGTGTGTTAGAAAATTAACTGTTGTTAGTGTTTTGAGAAAATTAACTATTAGTAGGCATCACTGCCTTGTAGGGTGAAGATAAATCCTACCAAATTTCAAGTAAGTAGATTAGATATGTGTGTGTGCGCACTAAGGAACATTGAAAGATTCCTTCAGTCACATTCTCTGCTAAAGTGGGGGCAGGGCTCTGCAAGTCATCTGTTGGGAGCTATGATAATATTGAGTACATGTTGTTCTTATGATGTGCCACTACCTCTGCTCAGGCTCCATAGCTGGAGGAACCATTCATTGTAATTAGAAAGTAGAAATCAGTTGACTCCATTCATCTGACCTTCCTGAGATTTAAATGGAGAAATTGAAACAGTGGTAGGGTGTAGGGACTGCAGATTTGCTCGTTACTAATGATGTGCATAAGAATCCAACACACAACCTAAAGCTGCAGCTTTGCATTGTAATCCTGTGAAGGGAACCTCGGTTAAGTTCAATGGGGCCTAAATTAATACAACTTGTATTGTATTGGAATTAAAGATCAACAGTAAATAGTTTTTCCTCACCCCTATGAGTTTTAAGGTTACCCCTGGATGTATCCCTGGATGTATTAGTAAAAAATTCAGTTCATCTCCAGAATGCCAGATGTAATTTGTCTATTGACCTACCTAATTTAGGATTTCCATCTCTATTGAAATCTCTAATTATCTGTTATTTTTATTTATTTTATTTATTATTTAACTTGTCCCCGCCCATCTCCCCACAATGGGGGACTCTGGGCAGCTTACAACACACTAAAAACATAAATGCAATTAAAGGTTATAAAAACCAAACATTAGAAACATAAAAAAGCTAAAAAATCCAAGAGGCCGATAGGGGCCACACCAGGCCGCTAAGAGGCCAGCCAACCCATTTCTGATATTCTCCCTCCCCACCCCCGGCCAGATGGCAGAACCCGGGCTTCAAATCCCTCCGAAAAGCCTGGAGT